TGTCACAGTTTTTCTTCCAAGAGCAAGCGTCTTTTCATTTCATGGCTGCAGTTACTATCTGCAGTGATTTTAGAGCCCACGAAAATAAAGTCTGTCACTGTTTCCATTTTTTCCCATCTGTTTGCCATGAAGTGATGGGACCAGATGCCATGATCTTAGTTTTTTAAATGTGGAGTTTTAAGCCAGCTTTTTCACTCTCCTTTTTCACCTTCATCAAGAGGCTTTTTAGTTCTTTGCTTTCTGCCATAAGGGTGGTGTTATCTGCATGTCTGAGGTTATTTGTATTTCTCCTGGCAATCTTGATTCCAGCATGCGCTTCATCCAGTCTGGCATTTTGCATTATCTACTCTGCATCATGTTAAATAAGCAGGGTGACAATATACAGCCTTGATGTACTCCTTTTCCTATTTGGAACCAGTCTGTTGTTCCATGTCCAGTTCTAACTGTTGCTTCCTGACCTGCATACAGGTTTCTCAAGAGGCAGGTCAGGTGGTCTGGTATTCCCATCTCTTTCAGAATTTTCCACAGTTTATTGTGATCCACACAGTCAAAGGCTTTGGCATAGTCAATAAAGCAGAAATACATTTCTTTCTGGAACTCTCTTGCTTTTTTGATGATCCAGCAGATGTTGGCAATTTGATCTCTCATTCCTCTGCCTTTTCTAAAACCAGCTTGAACACCTGGAAGTTCACGGTTCACGTGAAGCCTGGCTTGGAGAATTTTAAGCATCATTTTACTAGCGTGTGAGATGAGTGTAATTGTGCAGTAGTTTGAGCATTCTTTGGCATTGCCTTTCTTTGGGAATTTGTGTCTATAGCCACTTTATTGAGATTGAGGTGAGGATTTCTCAATTTGTAAAGAGGTTTAAATAAAAAATTTACTCTAAGATCCTGACCATTATTAATTTAAAGTCAGGAATTTTTAAAACTTGGGCTTCCCTAGTGGCTCAGTGGTACAGAATTTGCCTGCCAATGCAGAAGATGCAGGTTCAATCCCTGGGTGGGGAAGATCTCCTGGAGAAGGACATAGCAACCCACTCCAGTATTCTTGTCTGGGAAATCCCATGTACAGAGGAACCTGGCAGGCTACAGTCCATGGGATCGCAAACAGTCTTGTTTTGTCTAGCAACTAAACAATAACAATTTTTATAAATTAGCTATATGTCTCACCTATAATTTTCTTGCCTTTCCCTATTTTGAAAAGTAACAAACTTTATAAAAATGATAAATTTACTGGAGAGAATATTAAGGTTCCCAAATGTTGCTTCCATCTGTCTGTCCTAAGTGCCATCCAACTCTCTGTGACCCTATGGACTGTAGTCTGCCGGGCTCCCATGTCAGTGGGGATTCTCCAGGCAAGAATACTGGCGTGGGCTGCCATGCCTGCCTCCAGGGGATCTTCCCAACCCAGGGATCGAACCCAGGTCTCCCACATTGCAGGTGGATTCTTTACCAGCTGAGCTACCAGGGAAGCTCGAATGTTGCCTTTGACCTTCTCAAATTTAAGATCTTGAATCTCTTGAATTTCTTCCACTTTTAGTAATAAAACATTAACTTCATGAAATTCCTCTAGATTTACAATTTTGAAATTATTCATATTGTTAAATATATGGCATATAGAAATATAATTATAAAATACTATTTTTAAATGCTAGAGAAACAGAAACAAAATAGAACTTACAACGTATCTAGCAAGACCAACATGAATAGCTCTACCTAAAGGCAGAGTTATGTAAATTCAATTTATAGGCCTTGAATAGCTTCCCCAATATTGGCCTTTGAAAAGCTCTACACTGATATTTTCAAGAAACTAGCAGCACACTTCACCTTGGAAAAGTAATACTATAAAGACACTGCCATTAGTGATTTTATGTACTTCTACATAACCTTCTTGAATTTGAAATAATGGATAAGTTCAGGTAATAATTTTTGTTCTCTTTCAAATTTTACGACTAAAATATTGAGTTGTGTTTTATGACTTACATTTATTATATTCTGTAAAGTCAGCCAGCAGCTTTAGGCAAAGAATACCTTTGCAGTCAGAAATAAGACTCTGGGAAGAAATCAGAGGTTTAAAATGAGTAATCATATATTCTGGAAGCAGAGGAATTTTCCAAAGATTTTGAAAACCAACCAAATATTGCATACTGTGTAGTATATGAGCAATAATTTTCCAACTGTCTATATAGTTTCTTTTTCTTTTGTGGCTAGGATAATTATCTATTCATGTATGGGCCAGGATTGTTGCTATAAAACTTAATTTCTTCCAGAGCAGTTTAGGTAGTTTTTTGGAGGAAGAGTTTGTTTAACAAATTGTACACTGACAATGGTAAGGAATTTTTAGTTATGAGGAATTCTGACAAGGTCACAGCAATTATCCAGTCTGTTTTCAATCTCAAGAGTCACGTTGAAAGAATGAAATTTAAACACTGTAGATTTAAACATGGTAGATTCAAAAACAAGTAAGCCTACTTAATATTTGCATGACAGGACAAAACACTGAAACTTTAGATCTTTTTCTCTTTAAATTAGGTTCTCACTCTAATGGACCAGATATCATCTGCTAATATAACTTATTTAAAAAGAATGAGAATATGGCTTCTATAGGAGAAAGAGATGGAAAGGGCAGGGTTCTGACCTGGATTATGATCCTGTTGTGCTCCTAGCTTTCTAGAAGGTTCTAGAGCTATCACAGTACTTTGATAAGCTTTGCTTTATTTACCAATATGTGAAGCAAATATTTAACCTGGCTGTGATAGGTAAGATAGTATGTTTATAAATAAAAGCATTAAAAAAATAATATAAGTTATCATTTATTAGGGAAAAGCACAAGTCAGGCTCACTGAGTTTTCACCATAGTATGAACATCACAGGCTGCTGCTGCTAAGCCGCTTCAGTGGTGTCTGACTCTGTGCGACGCTATGGACGGCAGCTCACCAGGCTCCTCTGTCTATGGGATTCTCCAGGCAAGAGTCCTGGAGTGGGTTGCCATGCCCTCCTGCAGGGGATCTTTCTGACCCAAGGATCAAAGCCGGTTCTCCTGCATTGCAGGCAGATTATTTACCATCTGAGCCACCAGGGAAGCCCTCAGACTAGCTAGATTGTAAATTCGGTTTATTTTATGGCTTTTAACATCAGAGCCCACCTAAAAAATTTCTGCACGGAGCCTGTCCTTAAGCAGTAGTTGTGGCTAAACAGATCTACTCTCATTTTGAGGACTCGTTGGCTATTATTGACCGTGGTGACTAAAATCTGGTTAAAGTATCTCAAAAATTATGCAGTATGTGGTAAATCACATTACTAAGGCATTTGAGTAATAATTTACTTTTTTAGAATTTAGGTCAAGAGCAAAGGCAAAATTATCAGTTATGCATAAACTCAATTTTCTTTCCCTTCAAGAACTTAGAACAAATGTGCTATGGATTTTCTCTGAAGAGGTTTGTAGTTATTATGTTTGTTTTACTTGTTTTTTTACATACGGAATCTTATTGGTCTTTAAAATGCAACTTAGCAGTGTAACTGATGTATTTTTTGCCACTAATAAAACCAATACATATGACAACATGAATGCATACTCATTTCAGCCTCTAAGATTTGTTTTCAAATTATTCTGTTCGCAGCCAGGAGAAAAACATGAGATCATTTCTTTCCCTTCTGCCAAAGACAAGCTGGTTTCCCCAACCCACGTGGACAGTGGAGCGGTAAGTCTACCACCATAGCGTGCTCATAAGTCTCCAGACCAGTGATCTTTGGGGACCAGTGACCAGTGGGGACCAGTGACCAGACCAGTGACCTGTGGGGACGCGCTAGGACACGGAATGGGCCAAGACTCAGGAGGCAAGGCATCTCTGGTTCACAAGAAAACTGCGGTCATTTAGCGGTGTGTGTCTGCCGCATCTGCCCACTGGACAGGGAAAGAAGAAAAGGTGCTCTGGGCAGAGTACACGGTTGTTCCCATTCATCTCGCCCACTTCATACACTGTATTCCTTCCCCACGTGCTTTCCAAGTGCAGGATCACAGATACGCTTCCACGCGCGCGCGCACACACACTCACACACACACACCGTCTCTCTCCCAGGCGCCAGCCGGGACTCGCCTCTCGTGCACCCCAACCTCCCCGCGGCTGGATCCACGGCCTCTTCCCATCACCCGCACTCCACGTGGGCGTAACCCGGCGCCAGGCGGCCCGGCTGCCCTAGAAGCCCTTCGGCTCAACCAGGAGCTGGAGGGAGGGCGCGGCTCAGGGGTCGGACGGACAAAGCGGGCGTCCAATCGAGCCCGGGACTGCCTCCCCGAAGGGAGGGAGCGGCGGCTCCGACAGGCCCAATGAGCGGGGAGCCCGAGTGGGACTTCCTCCCGGAATCCCGTTGGCCAAAATAGCGGGGCCGTGGGTGACACGTAAGTTGGGTGGGAGGCGGCGGCCGCCGAGGTTCGGCTGCGCCGTCAGTGACACCGGCCCGCGGTCCCCCCAAACTCTGCCGGGGCAGCCGGTCGCCCACCCAGCTACTCACCCCCGCGGGCCGCGCGCCGAGAGGCTGCCTGGAGTCCGGCTCCCTTTGTTGGGCGCGCACCCCCTCCTTTTGGTGGCCACAAAGTCGCGCAGTGGGAGCCACCGCGAGGGGGCGGGGAGCGGCCGGGGCGGGACTCGGAGCGCCGCCGGGGGCAGCCGGGCCACAAAGTGGGGAGGAAGGAGAGAGGCAGGCGGCGTCTGGGGACCGGCGCGAGAACAGCCCGCCGGAAAGTATGCGGAGGGCCCCCTCCCGGGCCCGGGCACTCGCGGAGAGTCAGCCTAGCAAAAGTTTGGCGACGGCGGCGGCTGCCTCGGCGGCGTCGATGGCTGCGCGCCCCGCGGCGCGCGGGGGCTGAGCGGGCGCCACTTCCCCTCCGGCCCGGCTTTTGTGTCTCGCGTCTCCTCCTCATGCTGCGTCCGGCCACCTCCTTCGGCGGCCGCTGTTGAGGCGCTTGCTCGGGCCGAGAGGAGGAAGGCACGGCGGCGGCGCGGACGGCCGCGGCGCGGGGCCCCGGCGGGACTATGGGAAACGGGATGTGCTCCCGAAAGCAGAAGCGGATCTTCCAGACGCTGCTGCTGCTAACCGTGGTGTTCGGCTTTCTCTATGGCGCGATGCTCTACTACGAGCTGCAGACGCAGCTGCGGAAAGCCGAGGCGGTGGCGCTCAAGTACCAGCAGCACCAGGAGTCCCTTTCCGCCCAGTTACAAGGTACGGTTAACGGGATGCGCGCGGCCAGCGGCCAAGTTTGCCCTGCGCCTCCAGCCCTGGCTGGAAAAGTGGCTTTGGCGAGCCGTTGGCCCTGCGGGCGCCGCCACCTCTGACCTTCAGGGACAGCAGAGGCGAGCCCCTCCGGACCCCGGAGTGTCAGAGGAGATGACACCTCCCCATCCTCCGGCGGTTACATTTGAAATTGGCAGCACAACCCGGGTCCCCCTGGGCGATGGGATGGGCGGGTGCACTCTGAGTCTACGACCCCAGCACTTGTCAATTGTCAGAAGGCCCAGCTGCCATCTAGGCAGACAAACCAGGATCCCTGCCTCCGCTCTGCCAGCGCATCCGGAGGAGCTTGGTTTTCTGGTTTCTGGGTATTTGCTTTTCAGATGACTTTGGCAGTAGCCTAAGAAATGGGCAGATTGGCCGAGGCTTCTCAAACTCTGCCGTTTTTCCCCCAAGGAAATTAAGCCTGAGTCAGTGGTCCGAACTAATGCCCTATTTGAAAGATACTTGCTTAGTATCTTATTTCTGCTAACTCGGTAGTGTGACTTTAGAGATGTTCAATGTGTTGGGGGAAGTCCACACTACTGTTCGCCATCCTGCAAAAACAATTTTGGAAAAATTCTTTTAAAAGGTTGAATTGTTTTCCTAATTAACTTTTAGTTTGTCCCAGAGGGGGGTGGGTGGGTGCAGTTGTGTGCGTGTGTCTGTATGTTACAGTTAGCCTTGAGAAGCGCAAGAGGAGGTACCTGGTTTTTCACTTTGCCAAATACACAGCACACCCAATGTGAGCAAGACCTGCAGAATGACTTAAGCTCCTATTCTTCTATTTTAGAATCCCATTTAATGTAAATTTCAGGCACATAAATGATGCGTGACTGCAAATTCAGAACCAGGTGGCCTTGTTAAGAGCAGCGTCATCCTGTAAATATTTTTTGAAAGCTTTTTCTTGTACTCCCGGTTAGTTTTCAACACTCATGCAGCCCTCTCCCTAACCAGAACAAGTAATAATGGTAAAGGCTGTGAGTAGTGAAATGTTGACAGTCTTTGCTGATAATGCAAATAGAGCTTATTTCACATTACGAGGAAGATACAAGCTGCATGGCTGGTTTCTGTCAGTGTGTATTTATACAAATGTAAAACAGATGCCTTTTCAAGACTTAGCTATTTTGAATGTTCTCTCTAGTGAAAAAATAATAATAAAAAAAGGTCCACAGCTTCTTCTTGGTCTTGTTTGTTTTTCCCAGTTTAGAAGTAAAGGAAGTATTTTTAGCTTACTAAAGCTATGTCACCACAGGCAATGAAAATATGTGAGCTGGGTTTGTTTCAAAAGGAAAATCTGTTTTGATTCAGCCTTAGGTTAAAAAGTTTTTTTTTCTGTAAAATGTGTTGAAATTTACCCATGAATTACTGTTGGTTTGCAAAGCATGGGTATTTATTTATTTACTTAGAAGACACTAGTGTTTCCTGGTGAAGTTCAGTGCAGTTAGATCCAGGGCAATATTTGCCATTTAGGAGTACAATGGCAGGACTGCATTTTCACACTCGTGATAGGAAGGGTGTATATGGTGGATGGGACAAGGTTGGTACCTTGTTCTTTTAGTTCAGGAGACTCAAGCGAGCAGGTGCTATCATGTTCACCAACACACCCTCAGCAGTGCACAATATCTGACCCTGAGGGAGGGTCACTGTATTCATTTATTCACTCAACAAACAAAAATTAACTGTGGTAAGAAAAGTAGTTCCAAGCACTTTTGTTTGCTTTCTCAGATTTCGTTTCCCTGTCTGCTTTTTTGAAACAGCCCACGTAACAACAGTGAAATATTTAACCCAAGCACCACATATGCCTCAATTCCTAGCACTGGAACTCATTGACTGAGGAGGTCCCGATTTCTGAGTCGTGGCCTTTATTTGCACTATTCTATTTAGAAGATAAGACTCAGTGTCTTTTCTCCTTTTATTTGCCTTCTTTTGGTGGTGGTAGTGGGGGAGAGGGGTAGTACTTGGTATCCAAGACCATTATAGTGCATAGCAGTTACTTTGCTGCAGGAGATGAAAAAAAAAAATGTTGTAGCCAGTTTGAATGAGTGACCTTACAGTCCATTTCTTAATTTACTCTTTTGCTATTTCCTTTTGAATTGTGGTGCTACAGCCATTGCAATATGATTGTGTGAAGAATTATTTCCCACTCAGATTAGTTTCTTTAAAGTTTTTTTTTTTTTCCACACTTGACTTCTGTGGCATTTTAGTTTAAATTTCACATCTGCAGGCCATTTAATGAAGATGTTCTGATGTCAGGCAGCTTTTCTTCCCTTTTCCAATGACAAATGACATTTTACTCGGCAGTACTATGTACGACCAGCAGAGATTTGTTTTTAGGACATTAGACTTGTTTAGCTATGTAAGATCTTCAGACTTGTTTAGCTATGTGAGATCTCTTGACCTGGCTTGGATTAAAATCAGTTAATTATGAGTGGCCAAAAAAAAAAAAAATGCTGGTTGAAAAACTTTTAGATTGGTCATGTAATCTGAAGGTGTCATTTGCTAAATGAACATATTTGGGTCATCTTCAGTTTAATAATGGGTTGTACACTAGACATTATTCTAAAAGTAGATTAAACCTAACTCCAAGTGCATTTTGGAGTCAAAACAGTCTCATAAATAGGAAATGGTGGGGGTGATATGGTGAAAGTTCAAGACTTGGCAATGCCCCCTCCACTAAAAACAAATGTCTGTGTCTGCCAGTCTAGCCTCTCTGCCTTCCACCCATAATATTCCTTAATTATATTGAGGAGTAGGGCAGAGGTTACCTCTGGTGGCAGAGGCAGTTGTAACAACCTTTGATTAGCTCAGTTTAGGCTAACTTAAAAATTAAGGAAAAAACACTTTCGGGCCACCCACCATTTTCTGTGTCTATAAAGAGTGTCTTAACTTTGCCCATTAAAATCACCCGGGCAGCTCCCAGGCCTATTAAGTCACAATCTGTGGGGGTGGAGCCCTTCTGGCAATCTCCCCAGGTGATTGCAGCGCAGAGCCAAGGTTGCGAACCACAGTTCTGTAGTCTTAAGACTGAGCTGATCCACACATTGACTTCACTGGCTTGGCTGAAAAGACATTTGACTTTTTTTTTTCTTTTAACCCAAGCATGTGATTCAAATTCTAGCCCTGCAACTTTTTGTGTGATCTTGAGCCTCATTTTTCTTATTTATGTAATGGAGATTAGAATGGCCTATTTCATAAAATACTATGAGGATACAATAATTAATACCTATGAAGCTTCTGGGCTTTCCTGGTGGCTCAGCGGTAAAGAATCCACCTGCCAACACAGTTAGTTCCCTGGGTCGGGAAGATCCCTTGGAGGAACGAATGGCAACCCACTCCAGTATCCTTGCCTGGGAAATTCCGTGGACCCACGACCCTGGTGGGCTACAGCCCATAGAGTTACAAAAGAGTCAGACACAACTTAGCGAGTAAACAACAACAAATGAAGCTCCTAGCACATGCCTAGCACATAGTAGGTACCGCTCATTCACGATTAGCTTTTGTTATCATTAACGGTTTCTGTTTAAGAGATTTGACCTCTTTTTCTTCCCACGGTTGCCATGAGTAAAATTTTGAAATTCACAGAATTTGTTTTTATAATTAGCTCCTTTTTTGTTGTAGCTAAATGCACATCAAGGAAAATAGTAAATCCAAGTACTTTCCTCTGGAGAAGGGACCCTCCCTGACAATTTAAAGTTAGATTTCAAGTAGTAACTTCTGGTTACTAATTAACTGTATATTATGGAGGGGGAGGAGCTAAGATGGCGGAGGAATAGGACGGGGAGACCACTTTCTCCCCTACAAATTCATCGAAAGAACATTTGAACACTGAGCAAACTTCACAAAACAACTTCTGACCGCTAGCAGAAGACATCAGGCGCCCAGAAAAGCAGCCCAGCGTCTTCGAAAGGAGCCTGACTGAACAAGAGAACCTAAATAAGAGACCACCTCCACCCAGCTGTATCAGGGCAGAAATTAGACACTGAAGAGACCGGCAAACAGAAGCCAAATAACTGTATATTATGTCAGATTAGGAGAGGGCGTGCTAGCCAGAGATAGGAGTAACCTTGTGCAGTAAGATCTGGGAGAGGGATGTAACTAAGTAAAAAAAAAATTTTAAGTAGGGTCAAACAGTCCCTTGTTCTTAAAACACTGTTACATTATTGCAGTGCTCTTGGTCTTCCCAGTGATGACCAGAAACCATCAAGAAAAGGTTCATATGTTGTCTTCTATGCTCCTATTCCAGATCAGTGTATGACAGTTATTTAAAATAAACAGGCTTGGTGCTTAAGGCTGACATGGTTATTTAAGTTAGTTCTCCTTTGCATGGTGTTCCCCTGAGACGTGGGATGACCCCTTTACCTGAGCATGAAAGCATACTGTTTCTGGTTACTTTTTCCGACCTCCCCTGAATCTGCTTTAAAGAATAAAAAAGTGTCCTTCAGCTAAGGGCCAGATTTTTTTATTATGGTGGTGGTTCTTTCATCTCCAATGCCAGGTGCTTGGCATGATAGGTGCTCAGTAAATAGTAGGTCTATACCTATGTGATATTGGCTCTGTGCTGATGAATCTGCTTATGTAAGGTGGGCAGTGAAGTGTAGTGGATGTGGGTTGAGGAGTCAGAGTGCTTGGATTTGATGTCTTGCTATATTTTTCTTTTTTAAAGCAGCTGGTGATCTTGGATTCCCTTTCCCAGGTGGCGGTGCAGTGGTAAAGAATCTGCCTGCTGATGCAGGAGATGCAGGAGACGTGGGTTCCATCCCTCAGTCAGGACGATCCCCTGGAGTAGGAAATGGCAACCCACTCCAGTATTCTTGCCTGGGAAATCCCATGGACAGAGGAACCTGGTGGGCTACAGTCTGTGGGGTCGCAAGAGAGTCAGACACAACTTGGCGACTAAACAACAAACAGATATTGTCTATTAAATGGACTTTTTCACTGAAGTACTGAAG